GTAAAGAGTTCAACAAGTAGTAAAAAGATAGAAGGAAAAAACTAGAACACTGTTCAGGGCTGTAAATAATCGTCAAAGGTCAAAATGTTGATTTTACTCCTATATGTTACATTTTTGGTACGGTACTCTCTTACCACAAATCAGGGAGAACATATGGTATTTGTATTTTGGGGACTGGCTAATTTCAGTAATTACAATGGTTTCTAGTTGCATCCATTTTGTTACAAAAGACAAGATTTCATTCTTTTTTATGGCTGAGTAGTACTCCATGGTGTGTGTGTGTGTATATATATATTTTTTTTACCATAATGTCTTTATCCTGTCTTCAGTTAATGGGCATCCAGGTTGATTCTATATCTTAGCCATTGTGAATTGAGCTTCTGTAAACATAACTCTTTCATATTTCAGTTTCATTTCCCTTGGGCAAATTCTCAGGAATAGGATTGCTGGATCATTTTCAACTTTCTGGAGTATCTCCGTACTGTCATCCACAATGGCTGGATCAGTTTACATTCCCACCAACAGTGGACCAGGGTACCTTTTTCACCACATCCTTGCCAGTGTTTATTGTTTGCTGATTTCTGTGTGAGATTCTTTCTAACTGCGGTGAGGTAAAACCTTGTTGTGGTTTTGGTTTTGGTTGGAATTTCCCTGATAGCTGTAATCCTGGGCATGTTTTCATTTATCAACCACTTGAATTTCCTCTTTTGAAAAATGCCTGTTCAAGTCCTTTGCCCATTTCTCCATTGGACTGTTTGTTTTCATGTTGTTGACTTTCTTGAACTCTTTATAGATTCTGGATATGAATCCTTTATCAGTTTCATGAATCGCAAGTATTTTCTCCCATTCTGTCAGTTGCCTCTTACCTTTGTTGAGTGTTTCCTTCGCAGTGCAGAAGCTTCTTAGCTTGATAGCATTCCATTTGTCAATTTTGACTTTGATTGCCTGTGCCTTTGGGGTCTTTTCCAAGAAGTTTTTGTCCATGCCAGTGTCTTGCAGAGTTTCCCCAATGTTCTCTAGTAATCTCATGGTATGTGGTCGTATATTTAGGTCTTTGATCCATTTTGAGTGGATTTTCATGTAAGGTCTAAGGTAGGGGTCTTGCATTGTTCTTCTGCATGTGGAAATCCAGTTTTCCCAGCACCATTTGTTGAAGGACCATCCTTACTCCAGGGATTGATTTTAACCTCTTTGTCAAAGATGAATTGGTTGTAGATGTGTGGATTGGTTTCTGGAGTTTCTGTTGTGTTCCATTGGTTTGTAGGTCTATTTCTGCACCAGTGCCAGGCTGTTTGGATTATAACTGCCTTGTAGTACGTCTTGAACTCTGATATTTTGATGCCTCTGGCCTTGTTTTTGTTGTAAAACATTGCTTTAGTCAGGGTCTCTTGTGTTTCCTTATGAATTTTTGTGCCATTTTTTTTTCTAGATTTGTGAAGAATACCATTGGTATTTTGATTGGGATTGCATTGAATTTGTAAACTGCTTTCAATAGCATGGACATTTTGATGAAAGTGATTAATCTTAGAAGTTCTTTCTCAGCCTTGGTATTGTTTGAACAACGGCTATTGATTTTTATGTGTTAATTTTATATCCTGCCACTTTACAAAACTCTTCTTAGCTCCAGTAGTCTCTAAGTGGAGTCTTTTGGATCCTCTCTATATAGAATCATGTCATCTGCAACTAGGGATAATTTGACTTCCTCCTTCCCAATTTGTATCCCTTTGATGTCTTTTTCTTGCCTAATGGCTCTGGCTAAAACTTCCATGATTATATTGAATAGCAGTGATAAAAGTGGGCATGACATCCTTGTCTGCTTCCAAATCTTAGTTGAAATGCTTCCAACTTTTTCCCATTCAATAAGATTTTGGCTGTGGAGTCGTTACAGATTGCTTTGATTATGTTGAGGAATGTTCCTTTTATATTCCATTTGCTTAAGGTTTTCATCATGAAAGGATGTTGTATTTTATCAAATGCTTTCTCTGCATGATGAGATAATCATGTTTTTATTCTTCAGTTTGTCAATGTGATGTGTTGGCTGCAGGGGTCTTCTGTTGTGTCCATATCTTATTTTATTTTATTTTTATTTTATCTTATTTTATTTATTTGAAAGACTTACAGAGAGAGGTAGAGACAGAGAGAGAGAGAGAGATCTTCCATCTTCTGGTTCACTCCCTAGATGGCCGCAGCAGCTGGAGCTGTGCTGATCTGAAGCCAGGAGCCAGGAGCTTCTTCCGGGTCTCCCACATGGGTGCAGGGGCCCAAGCACTTGGGCCATCTTCTACTGCTTTCCCAGGCCATAGCAGAGAGCTGGATCGGAAGAGGAGCAGCTGGGACTAGAACCAGCACCCATATGGGATCCAGGCGCTTCAGGCTAGAGCTTTAACCCGCTGCACCACAGCGCCAGCCTCTGCAGATGTTTCTCTTGCTTACCCGGGGAATGCAATTCTTCCACTTTTTTTTTTATAAGGATTTATTTATTTTATTCAAAAGGCAGAGTTGGGGGGGGGGGGAGGAGGGATGGCGGGGAGGAGAGAGACAGACAGACAGACAGACCTTCCATCCACTGGTTCACTCCCCAGATGGCTGCAACAGCCAGTGCTGGGCCAGGCCGAAGGCAGAGCCAGGAGCTTCATCCAAGTCTTCTATGTGGGTGCAGGAGCCCAAACACTTAGGCCATCTTCTGCTGCTCAGGCCATTATCAGGGAGCTGATTCAGAAGTGGAGTAGCCAGGACTTGAACTGTTTTCCACATGGGACACTGGCACCACAGGCAGAGGCTTAACCTGCTATGCCACAGCGCCGGCCCCCTCCTCCACCATGTTGCAGTCCCTAAATTACCACTTTATGTCTCTTTTGAAGTATTATCAGGTTGATATAGATGTTTTGGATAACTGTACAAGCCGTGTTGTAACATTGAGAGAAGAAATTAAAAAGGAAAAACAGACATATTGTGTGTGATCTGTGGTTCTAACCAGGCTGTTGTAAATTTGTGCTCTTCCTCTCCAGGTGAATGAGCTGGATGGCATTCCGTTGATCCTGGACAGCTGCAGAATCGATGACAATAACCCCTGTATCCTTGCATGTGAATCATCACGTACAGGTCACAACCAGGGGCCTTGGCCCACATAGTTGACTAGCCTGCTTGCCTGTTCCTAATAGCCAAGCCACTTTCTCAAAGCTGAGGTGTTAGAATAGCTCTGTAACCGTTGCAGTATACTAAGTTAAATTTTTTGTGGCAGTTGGGACATTCTCAGCCAGCATGGCAGTAACACGTGCCGTTCATTCAAGGCGCCTGTGCTGTGTGTGCCTCCTTGGGGTGTGAGCATGGCACACTAATGACTTCAGGGACCTAGGGCTGCAGTCCTTGGGAGGGGCTGTGCTCACAGCGTGGAAGCCTAGGAGAGGCATTTCAGTGGCTTCGAATTCTGCACTTGCAGGCCCTGTCCTCCTGCCCCCGTACTGCAGCTGGGGGCTCGAGTTCTGCGCCTTCCTGGCTTGGCCGCCCTTGCTGGAAGGCGCTCTTTTCCCACCATGTCACTAAGTGGTTGTGTGTATGAAGCTGACCTGGTACGTCAGTGAGTAACCAGGGTCCTAGCACAACCTGCTTACTTCTGAGATGAAACCAACTGTTTGACTTCCATGGTGAGAGCCAGACTCAGTCTCGTCTTTTGCCCTGGTCACACTGCATGCTGGGGGTCTGAGTAGGCCTTGTGAGGGTTTCAGAGTGTGGCCAGTAGGAGGCATTGAGGAGGTGGAGGAGGTGGGGGGGGGGCAGGGCATTTAAAATCAGTGCCCTTAGGATAGCCTGCATTGCGGAGAGAGCAGGAGATGATGAGAAGCACATGTGTCAAAGTAAGTAGACTGCGGCCGGCGCCGCGGCTCACTAGGCTAATCCTCCACCTTGCGGCGCCGGCACACCGGGTTCTAGTCCCGGTTGGGGCGCCGGATTCTGTCCCGGTTGCCCCTCTTCCAGGCCAGCTCTCTGCTATGGCCAGGGAGTGCAGTGGAGGATGGCCCAGGTGCTTGGGCCCTGCACCCCATGGGAGACCAGGAAAAAGCACCTGGATCCTGGCTCCTGCCATCGGATCAGCGCGGTGCGCCGGCTGCAGCGCGCCGGCCGCAGCGGCCATTGGAGGGTGAACCAACGGCAAAGGAAGACCTTTCTCTCTCTGTCTCTCTCTCTCACTGTCCACTCTGCCTGTCAAAAAAAAAAAAAAAAAAAAAGTAAGTAGACTGCAAAATGCTTGTTTGTACTAAAAATGTTCACACTTTTCTGATTAGTAACAGGAAAAGGAATCCTTTAAGGTTACAGTAGTCCATACGACCAGTCAGGAAAGGCAGATAGCCCAGCAGCCTCTGCGGGGTGAGTCAGCTCAGTGCGTGGCGTTGTTGCCAGTCGCTGCAGTCTGTGTTTAGTAGAATTTGGACAGTTTTTAGGCCCCCAAGAAAAAAAGAAAGCAGTACAAGAATGTTCAGGTACAATTGTAGATGTCGCATTTCTCAATGAAAAAAAAATGCTGTAAAAAAAATCAACAGTTTACACTTACGTTCTCTGAATGGACCTTCTGGTGAAGAGTTTTCATCACTAATCATTTGGCAATGGCCAGAAACTAAAAGGCTGCTGGACACAGGCATGCTGCTGGTCTGTGGACGCGCCACGTGTGGTCCGTGCTCAGGCGCCTGTCACTTGCTGATCCGTGGACACGCCACGCGTGGTCCATGCTCAGGCGCCTGTCAGTTGCTGATCTGTGGACCTGCCACGCGTGGTCCGTGCTCAGGCGCCTGTCACTTGCTGATCTGTGGACACACCACACGTGGTCCGTGCTCAGGCGCCTGTCACTTGCTGATCTGTGGACCTGCCACACGTGGTCCATGGTCAGGCGCCTGTCACTTGCTGATCTGTGGACACGCCATGCGTGGTCCATGCTCAGGCGTCTATCACTTGCTGATCCGTGGACACGCCACGCGTGGTCTGCACTCAGGCGCCTATCACTTGCTGATCTGTGGACACACCACACGTGGTCCGTGCTCAGGCGTCTATCACTTGCTGATCTGTGGACACGCCACGTGTGGTCCATACTCCAGCACCTATCGCTGTCCACCCGGCCAGGTGTTCATTCACTCACTCACATCTTCTCTTTGAGACAGCACTTCTGTTTCAGCAGACAGTTCCTCAGTCCTTGTTCTGTGTTTCCGCCAACACCTTAGTTCATCCTGATGACCACCAGGATGCAGGTACTGTTGTCGTCATCACCATTTTGTAATGAGGAACTACACTGAGTCTAATGACTTGGCATCAGGTCAGAGCCAGAGCTGGGACTTGTGAGTGCCCAGTGCCTAGCTGCCTTGTTTGGCCTTCATACAGGTCACTGGGTGGGGACAGAACATGCACAGAGAAACCATGGTAACACGTTCATACAGTGAAGAAATTATTCAGAGCTCCTAACTTTAAATGAAAATGCACGCTAATGGAGCGTGGCAGGCTCCTTGAGAACACTCGGAATCATTAAGTGATAAGATGTTACAGTTGTGTTTAGTGGTAGATGTCCTCACTAATTCCTTGGCATTTTGTGTATTGAGACTCAGATTTTAAAGGCATATAAAATATGTATAATAAGAAATACATACAGAAAATCAGAGCAAAAAGAGAGTGATGATTGGTCAGCAGTGAGGAAACATGCCCCTCGAGGTTTGCTTTTTACATACAGACCATAGATTAGAATCTGGCCTTCCGAGAACCAGCGGGCTGGGCACGCGATGCCAGTGACAGCGTTTACCTCGTGGGAGGGCCCCTTCCGCGCTGTGATTCTGCTCCTGCTCACTGGGAGGGTTTCTGAACAGTCACTTGGCGCCGTAATCCCACTCCTCAGCTCCCCGTGAGAGAGCATTGTCTCTGCCTCCACTTTGCTCACTTTGTGGTTTACTCTCAACTGGCATTTTGTTTGCCATGTGCTTGGCTGCTGTTGCTTGGTTTAACAGTACTGACCTTGCCTGTCTGCTGTGTGGTGCACATGTCCAGCTCTGTGCACCACGTCCTGCCTCCACTGAAGGCTGCATGGCCACTCCCTGTTGCCCACACGGCTTCTGAGGAGGCTGAGCACCTTCCAAGATGTGTGTTTGCAATTTGAATTTGTGTGTGCGTGTGCACACAGTGTGTCTGATCAAACCTTTTCCCGTTTTTCCATTGAGCTACCTCTACCATTTGTTTTGTAACAGATCTTTATGTTCTAGATGGACCCTCTTTGCCAGCTCCAGGTGTTCCTGCTATTTTCTTTTAGCCACATTGCTATGTATTTGGTTGTTTGCTGTGTTTCTTTTGAGTAGCAGAAGTTCTTAGCCTTCCGCCTGATGGCTGGCATTGTTTTACATGTGTGTCTTGTTTGGAAATATTTCCGTCTCCCAAAGTCGTAACAGTCTGAAAATTATTTTGTAGCTTTACCTTTTACAATTCATTTATAAAGTGAATTTAGGTGCCGATAGGTAGCCCCATCACCATTTGAGGGTAACCCTCTTTATCTGTAAAAACTGTTTTCCCATAGTATCAGTGTAGCTACCTAACTTACTTTGTGTTAGCGTTCACGTAGGTCTTGATCACTCTCCAGGGGTGGGGAGTCTGGCCCGCAGGCCATAGAAGGCCGGTAAATCATTTCTTCTGGCCCCGCCGAGGCAACCACAGTGTTTGTGGTTGCCCACAAATGATGTTCTCAGTATCCCAGTGGCCCTTGGGAGCTAAGACTCCTACCTCTGTTCTAGACTGAGTTCCTTGAGCCTTGCGGGCAGGGTCCCTGGTCTTCATCTCAGTGATGACACGCTGGTGGACGCCCCAAGTGCTTGCTGCATGGGAGGACGAGCAGCGGGTTCGTGCGTCTGTGTCTGTGCAGGTGTGGGTGGGTGCGTGTGGGCGTGTGTACTTAATTATTTTGGAGGCAGGGTAGCTCTCAGCTCAAGAGAAATTTCTCCATGTTTTTTGGCTCTTTAGTAAATTAAGTATTCATGATTTAGCAGTGATATTGTTTTACATTTGGTTTGTTTAACCCGTTCTTTTAATAATTAATTGCAGGCAAGCTTTAATGAAGTATAATTTAAATTTTGTGTTAAGGAACTGGAGATGTTTCAGATAATGCTTAGATGAGGAGTCACTGCAGCTGGTGAATTTCTCTGTAGATAAACTGGTCTTGTCCCTGGACGTGAGCACACTCCATGATAGAGTGGGACCCGGGATACCTTGGGCCTGTGGTGGTTCCCTGTGGGGAACCTGCAGACAAGACTGTAAAAGTCAACCTTTCTCGGCTGCCTGGTGATGGGGACTCCAGGCTGGCCTATCCGATTCAGCTGGAACTGAGACGGCCCTCAGTGGGACGGGCTGGAAGGTTTCCTGGTGCAGTTCTTGGAAGTAGCTTACAGGGACCACAGGGATCTCCAGTTCCTGGGGCTGGAGGGCACCCCCGCTGCTGCTGCTTCAGGAACTGGAGCCCAGCTGTTCACTCACCCCACTCACTTCTGGGTCACCCACAGTAATGACATAGGAGCCGATGCCATCGGAAAATTCCAGCTCCACTACCACAGAGTCCCTTTCTCATTTGTCAGTGTGTTGTGGCAAGTGGGGGTTTTGTTGTTGTTGTTTCCAAATAGAAACAGCTGAACTTTATTTGAAGTGTTTTTCTTTCATTCTTTTTTGATCTGTGTTTTGATGGGTTGTCCTTGATGTGGGCTTCTTTTTTATATTGTTTTTATTGGGGGAGATGAGTCGGACAGGGAGAGGTTGAAAATCCCAGCTGGGTTCTTCTGCGTTTCTTCTGTGTTTCTGTTTTTCCCTCCCTCTTTCCCTCCCTCCCTCCCTCCCTTCCTCCCTTCCTTCCTTCCTTCCAGACCTCATCAATAAATAAAATTCACTTTAATACAAAAATGCAAGAGTTTATAGGAATAACGATCAAGCTGTATTTTCCCCTGTTTACTGTCTTGAGAATTGTGGTGCTGTGGTAAGAGCACTGGCACCATCCCAGGCTGGGGAAGCTGTAACTGGTGCCACCAAGCACCCTCCTCCTGAACCATACACACAGGCGCGGAGCCACTCAGCGTGAGATGCAGAGGACCTGTTCGATCCAGCATCTCTGGTATCTTAGCAACAGCTCCTGGGTGGCAGCTGGAAACTGAAGGAATCGGACATACTGGGGTGGGTGAGTGCTCACGGAAGTGCCTGCTGACTCTTGTTCAGTGTTTAGGCAAATAGAACTGTTACAGAACGAGACCACACAATTCAGTATCTCAGTCCTGCTCCTTTAGGTGTGTCTGCTCAGTTTGGTGTCCCTGAAGGCAGTGGTTGGCACTGGGTTGCGGCAGTGTGCAGGCTGGTGTGCGGCTTGGCATGGCCTTGGGGTGGTGTTAAATGAACGCTTCCAGGTGTGTGGGGGTGCACTCTGTGAATCCCCCCATCCACCTTGGGCTTCTGGGGTCCTGCGCTGGAGCCAGGCCTTTGCTCTCGTCTGCTGGGCCTGGTTAATGCAGTTTACCTGGCCTGAGGGTAAGACTGCCTTCAGAGATTCCAGTCTGCTGCTTGCTGGGCTGAGGTGCTCGGTTCGAGCCGTTAGAACAGCGTTTTCTGATCTGAAGGCGGCTGCTTCGTCCTCCATGTCACTAGCTCAGAGCAGACCTGGCGCAGCAGTCCCCACGTGGGCAGCGTGGTGAGTGCCTTGTGGAGTGGCTTCCTTGGATTTCTTGTCTGGCTCTGACGTGGCAGTATTTTCCTAAGTTTACTTCGCAGTGGTTGCTGTTCATGTTTTAAGGACCACCATGTGAAATTCATTTGAAAACTCAACAGAACTTTATAGCCTTGATCCATATTCCTGCGGGTCTGCGCCCTGTGGCAGAGTGCGTGTGGCCCCAGCTTCCGCTCCCGCAGTCAGGCAGCGCGTTCGCGGGCTCGTCACCCTGCACTCCTCGTGTGTCCTCTGCACACACAGGGCACAGCAGAGCGCTTCCGAGCTCCTGCCTTTGTGTTTCAGAAGTTTCACACGTGAGCTCCAGGGCTGGCCATGGGGTCACACGCCTGGCTGCCGCCCTGCAGCGGCGTCCTGTGAGCACTTCATCTTGGGGAGCACGCTGATTCCAGTGAGAGGGTCATTGCAGAGTCTTGGGCATTTTAATTTTTTTTAGATTTATTTATATGAAAGGCAGAGCGACTGAACAAGAGAGAGATGGATCTTCCATGTGCTGGTTCACTTTCCAGTCACAGCAGCCAGGGCTGGGGCCAGTGCTAGCAGCCTGGAACCTCATGCAGACCTCTCACGTGGGCAGCAAGGCCCGAGTATTTGGGCCGTCTTCTGCTGCCTTCCCAGAGGCATCTAGCAGGAAGCTGGATTGGAAGCAGAGCAGCCAGCACTCTGATATGGGATGCCAGCGTCACAAGCTGCAGCTTACGACCCTGGCCCTTTGGACTCCTTTTTAAATCACAGTCAGTTTGGGGCCAGAGTCATAGCTTACTGGGTAAACGCGCTGCCTGAAGTGCCAGCATCCCGTATGGGAACTGGTTCGTGTTCTACTTCCCATCCAGATCTCTGCTAATGGCCTGAGAAGAGCAGCAGAAGATGGCCCAAGTGTTTGTGCCCATGCCACCCTACGTGGGAGATCTGGAAGGAACTCTTGGCCCCTGGCTTCGGCCTGGCCCAGCCTCAGCTGTTTAGTTTGATTTACTTTCAGTTTATTTGAAAGAGAAATCTTAATAGATGGCTGTTGCAGCCATCTGGAGAGTGAACCTGGGAATGGAAGCTCTCTGTCTATCCCTCTGTCTCTGTAACTCTGTGAAGTAATTAAATAAATCTTTTTCAAACAAAAAAAAAAATCTCACCAAGCTCAGAGTTTACTTTCTCAAGGAAACCCTTTTAGAGGTTGATAATTACTTCTCCCTTCTGTCCCCAGACGGCTTTTCCAGGCTCCATCACTGCTGACTCGTCATGTTTGACCCCGTCACTCGGGCAGGTCCATGATGCTAGCCATCCCCAAGGAGGAAGGCTTGCCTTGGGAGGTCACGTCACGTGTCCCCAGGGCGGAGACTGCCTTCGCCGAGCTGCCTGTGCGCAGTGTTACGTAGATGTGTATGTTTTCTTACAGTTACTCATTTCCCATTTTTTCTTTTCTCATTACCTTTCTTTGTGAAAAGCAGCTGTGACTTTTGGCTATGTTTAAGAAGTTAATAAATAACTCTTTTATTGCCATATTTAAATAGTGTTGCCACACAGAATCTATATTTTGTGAGGGACTTCAAAGAGCAGGTGGCTGGAGTTTGCGGGGGAGCAGATGTTTCAGGTGACCCTGACCAACTGTCCGCACGCTCGCCTGAAGTGACCTTGGTCAGATTTAGCAATGGCAGCAAGACCTGGTCACAACATCGGTGTGCCACAACCACTCAGCACTGTTAAATAGTAACTCCTGGCTGTTTTATTTTGAGGCTGTCATTCTTAGCAAGAATTATTATATTCTAAGACCAGCACAGTAAAACAATCTACGGGCATGTTTGATTCGTGAAGGATTCTGTGAAGGCTCCTGCCTGCCGAGTTTAGGGACGTGTTGCTCCCGACACCCGTCACAGTCTCACTGAGGAGCCAGGGTGAGGGGCTGCAAACACCTAACCCCGAGCGGCACGGCTCTCGCGTTTATGTCCCATGGCAAATGGCTGGACTCCGAGGACGCTGGGGGGAGCTGGGACGCCCGCTTTTCTGCAGGAGAGCCTGGTGGGCCGGGCGGGGAGGGCTCCTGGGGCTTCCTTAGCTCCCTGGCTGTCTGGATCCACGTCACCCTCCATTGGTGATGATTCTAGTGCAGAAACCGGAGCGATCAAAGGAACTTTCGGCTGTTCTTCCACCTCTCTTCCTTGGTCTGCAAGTCTTCTCACTGAGCTGGAGATGAAATGCTTGTGACCTGTGGGGGGCAGGGGAGGGTTGCTGTGAGCTCCAGCTGTGGCCGTGAAGTTGGTTTGCCTCCGCCCCAACAATGGCAGTTGGGTTTTCTGTGTTGCGGGGGATGACTGAGGAATGGACAGCCCTTTGGGTTCACTGGGCGAGCTGCAAACTGGCCTCCGTGCTGTGAAACCGCTCATCAATGGACAGAGCCGGGGAGAAGCGTGAGGTGGAGCTGCATCCCATTGTGTGCAGCGAGGACCCAGACCTCTGGGGATGATCACATAGTATGACAAGCCCTCCTTTAAAGTGAGTCTTGCCCTCAGGGGACAGTGTGTGGGAGTGCTCTCTGCCCGGTGGGCCTGTGAACTGCACTCAGTAAATCTCCCACACTTGAAGTCAGTTCAGTCATCACATGACTTTGAAAAGCTGTATTTTGAAACATGCATCCCAGGGCTGGCGCTGTGGCACAGTGGGTTAAAGCCCCAGCCTGCAGTGCCTGCATCCCATATGGGTGCTAGTTTGAGACCCGGCTGCTCCACTTCCCATCCAGCTCTCTGCTATGGCCTAGGAAAGCAGTAGAAGATGGCCCAAGTGCTTGGGCCCCTGCACCCACTTGGGAGACTTGGAGGAAGCTCCTGGCTCCTGGCTTTGGATCGGTGCAGCTCCAGCCATGTGGCCATCTGGGAAGTGAACCAGCGGTTGAAAGACATTCTCCCTCCCTCTCTCTCCCTCCTTCCCTCCCTCCCTCGCCCTCTTCTCTCTCTGTGTAACTCTGGCTTTCAGATAAATAAATAAATCTTTTAAAAATTTTACATAAGACAAAGAAGGACATTAATTAATAAAAAATCAGAAGAGCTAGAAGATACATGCCTGTTAACAGACCATGAAAATCTGTGGAATGAAACAGACTGAATGAAGAATTACAGTTCAGTAGTAGTGGCTGGGAATTTCAGTACCCCATCTTCATACTGGATAGAACGGCCGGACCGGAAACAGGATTTACACAGAACTGACAGACACAGGAGATCCTGCCCAGTAGCAGCCTGCGCAGGGGGCATTTTCCAGAGGAAGCCGTAGCTTAGGCCATACATTCTCAGGAGGTGTCCAAAGGGAAATACCACACAAAGTACCCGCTCTGGCCATAACAGGGTGGTGAGAGCAGTCAGCAACAAATCATACTGGAGAATTCACAGATTTTGAATATTAAACAACCAAAATAACAAGAAATTAGAAGGGAAATTAGAAAATATTTAGAGACTAGTGAAAATAAAAACATCAGACCAAAATTTAGTAGACACAGCAGTAGTACTTCTAAGGGGGAAGTTTAAGAAATATTTACATTTAAAAACGGGATGTGTGTGTGGTGGCGCGGTGGATTAAGATGCCACGTTGGGTGCCTACACCTACTGGATCTCATTCATGTCCCGGCCCTGCCGCTTCCGATCAGTACATCTGGAAAAGCAGCAGGTAGTGGTACGAGTGTTTGCGTCCCTGCCACGTGGGAGGCCCAGGTGGAGATTCAGGCCTGGCTCGGTCTGGCCCGGGTTGCGCTGTTCCTGCTGTTGGGGAGTGAGCAGCACACGCAGCTTCCTCCCGGTCGCTCTGCATTTGAAATAAGAGAAAAGCTAGAGAGCTGTCAACCCCTGACTCAACAAAGATTGAATGAAACCCAGAGCTAGCAGATGGAAGGTATTGAAGAATAAAGCAGAGGTGAAGTAGGGAAAAATGAAACAAAAAATTGGCCCTTTTAAAACATCAAGAAATTTGTGCAGGTTATAAGTAAATAAGTTAAGGGGAAATACTCTTACTAAAAGTGGAAATGGGAGATTACGACTGTCCCCGTGCACGTAAGGACTGTAACCGCGCTGTGCCTGTGCGCTGGGCGAAATAAGTAGCTAAGAGCTGGAAAAACTGCCAAGACACTGAACATCGCCGGTCTGAGCAGACTCCCAGGTAAGGGTGTTGAACTCCGCAATCAGAAATCTCCCATTGAAGAAAGGCCTCGAGGTGTTGGCTTCAGTAGTGGGGTGATTTTTGTTTGTTTTTTGTTTTTAATTTAATTGGAAGGCAGAGAGGATGGGAGAGAATCTTCCTCTTCCATCCACTGGTCCACTCCCCAGATGGCCACAACATCTGGAGCTGAGCTGATCTGAAGCCAGGAGCCAGGAGCTTCCTCTGAGTCTCACACTCAGAGGAAGTGTGAGACTCAGAGGCAGTGGCCCACACAAGGGGCCGTCTTCCACTGCTTTCCCAGGCCATAGCAGAGAGCTGGATCAAAAGTAGAGCAGCCAGGACTTGAACTGGCGCCCATATGGGATGTTGGCACTGCAGGCGGCGGCCCAGTAGTGATTTCTACCAAACGTCTAGAGAACACACACCAGTCCTCATGCTGTTCGGGAGGGAATCCTTGCTAACTGATGTACTGTGAGTTCAGCAGTATCCTGACAGGGACCCAGGCAACGAGAACTCGTGAGAAAAGGAAGCTACAGGCTGCTATCCCGTATGAGCAGTGACATGAAGTCCTTCACAAAAACAGGCGTGAACTGATTCAGTGGTGTCTGCGAAAGACTGTGCAGTGTAACCCAGTGGAGTTGCTGCCCTGCGAGGACGGTTTACCACCAGAGACGATCAGTACAGTTCTCATGTCAGTGCAGCGAAGGGAAGAAGTACATAGTCAGTGCACTGGATGCAGAGGAGGCATCTGATAAAATCCCACAGCCTTTACCGGAACCCAGTGACACTGCCTCCGCGTGGGAAAAGCAGAAATGAGATATCTACAGCGAGCGGCACGCTCAGTGCTGAAAGACTGAACAAGGTAAAGTTGCCTGCCGTCCCCACTTCTCCATCAGGACCTCCTGCTTGGGTGGCCGGGGCTCAAGGACGTGGGCCGTTTTCTGCTACTTTTCCAGGTGCATAGCAGGGGGCTGGATCAGAAGTGGAACAGCTGAGACTTCACCAGTGCTCTGTGGGGTGCTGCAGCTGCAGGTGGCGGCTTCGCCCACTGTGTCTTAACGCCAGCCCTGCTCTCCACTCGTGTGCAGTGTCGTATTGAGAGTTACAGCCAAAGCTGGAAAACAAGGGTTGGGAAAGGGCATCCAAGTTGGAAAGGAAGGAGTGAGATCTCTCTTTGTATCTTAGAAAATGAAAGACACAGCCTGGCAAGCTCGATACATCGCCGGGAATCCTTGTTCTTCCAGCATCTCACTCGTGCCTCCTGATTGGGCATCTTTGCCTCCCTGCACACAGCTGCCAGAGACAGCCGCCTGATTTTTCTGCTTCAGCTTGGTCAGTGGATTCCCGTTGTGTCGGAACCCAATCCAGAGTCTTTCCTGTAGCCTGAGAGCTCTCCAGAGCTGACGCTGACTCACCTCAGCCTCGGTTCACACTGCCCACACTCTGCTTCCTCCGTGTGTCCGTGCTGGACACTGCTGCATGGCCTGCTGCCCTCTCTGCAGCCCTGGGACTCTGCTCTCCAAATGATTGCTCCCCGCCTGGCCCGTTCTAAATTTGGGAGGTAGACAGCTTGACCCACAGCCAGGATCCTAATCCAGGTCACCAGTAGGTGGCAGGAACCCAGTGTATGTGAGCATCACTGCTCCCATCCAGCGTCTTCGTTAGCAAGCAGCTGGAGCCAGGAGCCGAGCGCAGGGCATCAGTGCTGGGCCGAGTGCCCCAGCTGACCGCATTGTATCTGTGAGGTGCTGCCTCCAGCGCTCATTCCTCAGGCCTTCCTCGAGTGCCTCCGGCTAGTTGGTGGCTCTGCATTTCCTGTCTCAGAATTCAGGTGTTCTTTCTGGTTTGGTGCCTGCCTCTGCACTGGGATGGAAATGTCACAAGTGCGGCTGGTTCTGTTAGCTGGCATGTCCCCAGCGTTGAGCATAATACCCCCATAGTCATTCATGAATGGACTCATTCAGATGTGTGATGAACAATTTACGCTTCTGTTTATATCTAAATGTCTTGTTCCAAGTCCAGTGTCAAGATCAAAAGTCATACTGTTCATGGACGGGGGAAAGCATGTTAAAGTATTAAATTTCTGTAACTGAATGAATTTTACTCTGAAAGCAAGATGTCCAGTACTTCAGAAAATTTAAGAAGAGATAGTTGTGGCCGGCGCTGTGGCTCAATAGGCTAATCCTCCGCCTGCGGCACCGGCACACCGGGTTCTAGTCCCAGTTGGGGCACCGGATTCTGTCCCGGTTGCCCCTCTTCCAGGCCAGCTCTCTGCTGTGGCCCGGGAGTGCAGTGGAGGATGGCCCAAGTGCTTGGGCCCTGCACCCCATGGGAGACCAGGAGAAGCACCTGGCTCCTGCCTTCGGATCAGCGCGGTACGCCGGCCACGGCGGCCATTGGAGGGTGAACCAGCGGTAAAAGGAAGACCTTTCTCTCTGTCTCTCTCTCTCTCTCATTGTCCACTCTGCCTGTCAAAAAATAAAAATAATAACAATAATAAAAAAGAGATAGTTGCTTCTAGGAAGCATTTCAGAAGCTAAGGCCGCCATAACCAACTTAGCATTTAAATACCCTAAAGTGTAAGTGGTTTTTATTTCCAGTTAATGCTGGAGTTAACGTGCATATTGTGGATTTCTCCTGAAGGTGGTCCTGACTTAAGGGTCGCGGCAGTGCTCTGCCTGTGCTGGCCGGCAGTGAGCATTGTCGCTCTCTGTGTGGAGGAGACCGGTCAGACGCCGTGTGCTTCTTGAGCTGCTGACCACTCATGGGAGCACACAGTGCAGTGTGGGAAGCGCCACTCCCTGTGTCTGCCCCACGGTGCTGGGGAGAGCCGTCAGGGAAACACGCCTGGCTGTGCCTGCCGACTTCCTGGGCAGGGCGTGAAGAGGCGAGTTGGCACGGCTGTGGTGCCACGGACCGGGCATCCCCGGGGCACTGGTGATTTCCCATCAGAAGCAGTAGCACCAGACGCTCTTTCTGACCACGTACAGGACAGGGAGCTTGCGACTGTCGCCTGCTGTGTCTCATGGTGAAGTCTGGCAGAAGCTTCACCCCGTGTTTTCTCCGTTTAATCCGTTGCAGTTCAGAACTGGTGTTGACCCTTGGCTGTATTGTATTACCTCTGAAATGTGGTGAGTGCTCAGCCCACACTCATCTATACCTTAGATGGTTTATTTGCATTTTTTACTCCAACTTCTTGCTTCACTCTAAGCTGTTAGCTTATCAGCCGACTCCAAAGGTGCTTTGTTACCTTTGGGGACTTCTTGAAGAGAAAGGAGCTCCTTTGTGGGTCCTCACCTTGATTTGTGGGCGCAGTGCTGGAAGCAGCATGTCTGAACGGCCTAGGAGAGGTGCTGGAGCTGGGCTGCCTGCACCGGTCAGTGCTGCGTGAGCCGCCTGGCCAGGAACGAGTCAGCTGGCCGCCTGCCATTGGTGCCTCCTCTGTGGAATGGAAACAACGTGAGGTTTCCTGAATCCTCTCCTGAGTGTAGGATGACCTCTGCCACACTGTGTCCAGGTAGCTATTGCTAAAGTGTTGCTGTTGCCAGTAACACTGCAGATCACTGACCATTCCATCTCCGTGCTTTTTGTTTTTTTGTTTGTTTGTTTGTTTGTTTTAATTTCACAGGTAGAGTTAGAGAGAGAGACAGAGAGAAAGGTCTTCCTTCTGTTGGTTCACTCCCAAATGGCCACTATGGCTGGCACTGCCCGGATCTGAAGCCAGGAGCCAGGTGCTTCCTCCTGGTCTCCCATGCGGGTGCAGGGCCCAAGCACTTGGGCCATCCTCCACTGCCCTCCTGGGCCACAGCAGAGAGCTGGACTGGAAGAGGAACAACCGGGACTAGAACTGGCACCCATATGGGATGCTGGCGCCGCGGGTGGAGGATTACCAAGTGAGCCACAGCGCTGGCCCCCATCTTCATTCTTGGCTCATGAGATATTTAAATTAATCTCTCTGCAGAGCTCTGCACACACTGAAGATGGCAGTGTGTCTGCGGTGGGAATGCTACCTGAGGAGGGGTCCCAGGGGACAGGGGCTTTATAAACGACCTCTTGGCCTGGAGTGCTGCCAGTCTGCTGTGCCTGCCTGGGCTCGCTCAGAACCCCTGTGGGGTCAGAGGCCCCTCCTGCTGCCGTATTGCCAGAGGCTCTGCCAGGACACTACCCACAGCATCCCTGGATCTTTGGAGGCTTACTGGCCCCAGGTTGCCCCCTGCCGTATGCCTGCGTGTGTGTATTAGACAGCATCTCAGCCCAGGTCCAGCGGACTGGGGCATCATGAGCTGGGGCCTCGCTGGGGCCAGCACTCTGCTGGACACGTCATATGCAGTGGCTCCCAGAGTCCCCAGGTGATACTGGAGTGCTGCCCCAGGTACAAGTAGAAGCACTCTGCTGCCCAGAGCCTGGGGTGTGGTTTAAGTTAGAAGTGGTATCGGTTGTCCTGGATCTGGAAACCTGTTGTGTTAGATAGGGGTGCCAGACTGTACAGAGCAGTTCTGATTTAAAACTGTTGAAAATGTCTTACACTGCTAAAACCCAAAATGCTTCATATGTGCCGATTTCGTCGGTCACCGGGGAAGAACAGCAAGGTGGTGGCCCTTCCTCCTGTAGAGGCCATAGCCCTGCTAACCAGCACCACCCCAGGGGTCCTCACTCCCCCAGGGAGAACCTCCCTTTCCCCACCCACGCCCCTGAGACCACCGTGCTCACTGTGGGGGGCAGCAGCCGGGCGAAGAGCTCCCAGCTAGACACTGTGGGAAGCAGACAGGCAGGCTGGGGGCCAAACAAGATGGAGCGCCTGGGGGGGAAAAGCATCCGAACACCGCTGCTCTTCCGCAGCGCATGGCATCCCGCACGAGCCAACGCCACGTCCAGATGCCGGGAACGCTCACTGCCCGTCTGGCTCCAACGACTCCTTGTTCTCAACACCACTCCCATCACTGGTTCAGCTGCACCTCTCCTCCTCGGAAGGGGGGAGGAAGCCTTCGCGTCACTGTCCTGACGCTGGGGCTGCGGGGCCTGGCGCAGGAACCAGCTGTGTGCACATGTACCGCAAACCACCCATTTTGGCTCCTTATTCCTTCTCCAAATTGTTAGTCTATTTGGTATCTAATTTCCCTCTGCGTTCCTGTGTTTTAATACAAGGGAACATCTGTGCTTCCAGGATTTTGGTACAGTGCTGCACAGTCTGTTGTCTTAACAGTATTTAAAAATCAAAGCCAGGAGTATGTATGCCCTCCAATTAACTGCTGGCTAACTGCCATCACTGAAAGTGGTTTTAAAAACAACACACTGGGAGTCGGTGCTGTGGCATAGCAGGTAAAGCTGCTGCCTGCAGTGCCGGCATCCCATATGCGTGCCGGTTCAAGTCCCAGTTGCTCCACTTCGATCCAGCTCCCTGCTATGGCCTGGGAAAGCAGAAGATGGCCCCAGTTCTTGGGCCCCTGCACCTGCGTGGGAGACCCAGAAGAAGCTCCTGGCTCCTGGTTTTGGACCGGCCCAGCTCCAGATGTTCAGAGGAGCAGGCAGCACTTGCTGCGAGCCAGGTCGGCTAGTGGCAGCCATGGGACGACGCCGAGCGTCCCCCAGCAGCCACGGTGGTCACACGCTTCCCGCTGCAAGAGCCTCTGCAGCCAGTGGGCGCTGTACTAGCAGGTAGCTCACATGCGCTGGGTTTTCGTGGTGCCGGAGTCAATGGCACTGAAGCTAATTTTGTACGTTGCGTGCTCTGGAACCATTTTAGTCACCACTTCAAAGCACATCCCTGGAATGTCACATGCTCCGTGCATCCCTTGCCTTCGTGAGCTTGCTGTTTAAACGTATATGCTGGAAGCCAAAATTAACTCACATAGTACTCAGGTAGTATAGATATGTTATGTATAAAGCACATCTATGCATGTTTCCTGAAAAGTCAGTAAAACCCTTTTACTATATTTTTGAATTGTTCTAATTTAAATAACGCAATTTTTTACTAATTTAAATAATAATTTAAATAATGTAAATTTTCAAAGGTATTAGCACCTTTGAAAAGAAATTATTTATTCATTTTGAAAGAGAAGGGGTGGGGCTGGTGCTGTGGCATTGTAGATTAAGCATCTGCCTGTGACACCAGCATCCCACAGGGGCACCGGTTGGAGTCCGGCTGTTCCACTTCCGATCCAGTTCCCCGCTGACGGCCTGGGAAAGCAGCAGAAGATGGTCCCCTGGCTTAGAATCAGCCCAGCTCTGCTGTTGTGGACATTGTGGACTGATGGTTCACTGTCTCTCCCTCTTTATGTCAGTAACTGCCTTTCAAGTAAATAAGTAAATCTTAAAGAAATAAAGATATCTTTGCAAGGACAAAAAAAGTAGCAGAGAGAGATCTTCGTTTGCTGGTTCACTCCCCAGATGGCCACAACAGCCCATCCGAAGCCAGGAGCCTCCTCCAGGTCTCCACGTGGGTGGCAGAGGCCCAAGCACGTGGGCCACCATCCGCTGCTTTTCCCAGCCCATCAGCAGGGAGCTGGATTGGAAGTACAGGAACTGGCGGCCATATGGGATGCTGGTGTCACAGGCAGCGGCTTTACCCGCTGCGCCACACCACCAGTCCTGATGTGTACTTTTCACTGTTGGTTTATGTGTTCATTCAACAAATATTTATTGGTGTCTCCCATGGTCTAGGCCAGAAGTGGCCGAGCCTTGTCGGTAAAGGGCCACATGGTGGATATTTCTGGCTGTGTGGATCACACCGCCTCTTCACAGCTGCCCGGCACTGCCCCTGCCCCGCCAGCAGCCACAGACAACGTGTCGCTGGCTGTGGGCCATTAGAACTCTATTTACCGAAATTGGAGTTTAAATTTCACTTTTCATGTGTCACACATTAGTATTGTTCTTTGGATTTTTTTCCAGCCATTTAAATATGTAAAACCAATTTTTAGTTTGCAGCCGTTCAAAACCACAGGCTTATCCTCAGTTGTCTCCTAAACACAGGCCAGCAGCCAGGGCCACGGCCCTGCCTTTGCCGCTCGGGTCCTGTGCCGGACTTCAGGTCCCTTTGAGTTCTGTAACTGGAAGAAGGTTGCCCTCCATCAGATGAGGTCTTCCTGGGCACACAGCGCCAGCACTAACATTTCAGCTCAGCTGGCTGCACTCTAAGAATGTGCTGGCCACTAGCATCCTTGTCATGCACTCTGTCTGTCATGCCGCTTCTCAGCCAGCCCACACCGTCCGGCCCTCACTGGTATGAGGACAGTCAGTGTTGGACTCGGTGTGGAACCCTCTGGCGTCCCGGGCTCTGCTGCTTCTGTGCAGGTTTCCCAGCCTCTCATTGCCCGTGCTGTGCAGCTCGGGATTCTTACTGCCCCTGTGTTCTGGTGGCCGAGGTCAGGACTCTGGGGTGCCCGCTGAAGAGCGCGCGGCCTTGTCGAGTCCTCACTCCGGGGCTGGCTGCACAGTCCTTTCAAGGCGGTTTTGCAACAAACAGGCTCACACCTCCTATTTGTAGTAACTATAGAAACGTCAGAAGCTGTCTTTCCAAAGCAAGCATACAGTGAAGCCCTTCAAGTGTTGGTAGGGTTGGAGACTCTGGGAGATGTTTAATTTTCTCCCCCGCTCTGTCTCGCTCTGTCTCGTCAGGGGGAACAAGAGGGCCATGTGAATATTAACTGGGACTTGCTTTAGTCTCCTGTGACACTGAGGCTGCCGCGGTCTGTGCAGGCTGCCCAGGACCCCCTTTCCCAGCACAACAAGGCCATCCATAGTCATGGCCGGGCTCGGAGTAGATGCGGTGCGTAGCGGTGTGCACATTTCATGAGGAACAACTCTAAGTCGATGTAATCATTCAGTCTGAGCCATTAAGCAGTAGAGCTGAAGTCTTGGAGTTGAGGAGGGAACAAATTAGAGGGCCTGCTGTGGCGTGGAGCTGTGGGTAGACAGGTCAGACGCCAGAGTGCTGGTGCTCGCTGGGAGGGCATAGACAGGCCGCACGTGGAGCCTCCTTACAGAGGAAGGTGGTGGTTCTGATTGTCAGAGCCCTGGGGAGGGGCGGGCTCCCCGTGGTCCCGCCTCTCTGCTTAAGCTTTTTGTATGTGGGTGTCCAACTTGGGAGGAACAAAAACGCCTTTCCTGCTTTGGGCTTCAGGCTTGTGAGGTTGTTGGCTCGGGGCAGGGTCTGGCCCTGTGGGACTCCTGGTCATCACATTTTGCTCCTGATCACGGGGCAGGGGGATCCTCGGAGGCACCTGCAGCGCCTCATCTCTGAGGGCCACTGCTCAGTCCTTCTCTCTGCCCCTTCCTGCTCAGGTGGACAGTGGGTGTCACATAGCATCTTCCCTATGGAAATTGGGTGCTGTTGGGTGCTGAACATGCAAGCATGAATTGCCTCTAGGAAATGAGGTAGAGAAGTTCCTTCCCTAACCCCCGCCATGGACAGCATTGAGGCCATCCTTGCATTCTGTCCACACAGGAACCCTCCTGCCGTTGTTGGCACAGCACAGCCCCCTTGCCTGGGCTGTGTTTAGGTTCCCTTCCTTGTGATCTCGCAGCCCTGCAGAACTGCAAGTCAGCAAACCACACAGAGCAGGAGGGGGTGCAGCTCCCATGGGCCCTGCGTGGGCACCCAGCACAGGTCTCCCCACCAAGGGCAGGACAGTGCAGCCCCCGTGGGCCCTGCGTGGGCACCCAGCACAGGTCTCCCCACCAAGGGCAGGACAGTGCAGTGTGCAGCCCCCGTGGGCTCTGCGTGGGCACCCAGCACAGGTCTCCCCACACTGCACCAGGGACAGTGCAGTGTGCAGCCCCCGTGGGCCCTGCGTGGGCACCCAGCACAGGTCTCCCCACCAAGGGCAGGACAGTGCAGCCCCCGTGGGCCCTGCGTGGGCACCCAGCACAGGTCTCCCCACCAAGGGCAGGACAGTGCAGTGTGCAGCCCCCGTGGGCTCTGCGTGGGCACCCAGCACAGGTCTCCCCACACTGCACCAGGGACAGTGCAGTGTGCAGCCCCCGTGGGCCCTGCGTGGGCACCCAGCACAGGTCTCCCCACACTGCACCAGGGACAGTGCAGTGTGCAGCCCCCGTGGGCCCTGCGTGGGCACCCAGCACAGGTCTCCCCACCAAGGGCAGGACAGTGCAGTGTGCAGCCCCCGTGGGCTCTGCGTGGGCACCCAGCACAGGTCTCCCCATACCGCACCAGGGACAGTGCAGTGTGCAGCCCCCGTGGGCTCTGCGTGGGCACCCAGCACAGGTCTCCCCACACTGCACCAGGGACAGCTCAGAGTGAATGAGGTTCGGCCTTGCTGCCAGGAGCCCCCAGCAGCACACAACTCCACCGGAGCCACATTGAACGCGCCTGGTCCAGGAGCTAGACTGGGTGCTGTGGGCGAGCAGGGAAGGGAGAGGAAGCGTGGCTCCTGCGTGGGAAGAGCTCCTGTGCAGGGCAGTGGAGGAGAAAGAGCAGGCCTTAGAACCATCCCCAGACCTAGGTGGCGCTGTAGAGTAGTAGGGGAGGAGGCTTCCAGGAGGAGGTGGCCCTTATCTGAGTCTTGAAGACTCTTGTTCCCTGTAGAAAACGAGCAGTCGTTAGGGCTGCGAGGCCAGCACCGGGGCTTGCTGGAGCTGGGGAGGCAGATGGTGTTTGGCGGCAGAAGCACGCAGGCCTCGGTGGAGATTCTAATGATGAGACCCCTGGGCGGCCCCTTCTGCCAGAGACCTGCGCGTGCAGCTGGCAGTGGTGGCACAGCCGTGGGATCCGGGAACTCAGCGCGTTCAGGGGGATTTCAGTTTTGACTCCATCTAAGTGATTCGGAGGTTTCAGGCATGAATGTTTTGTTTCTGTCATTTACCACTGGAGAATTACACACGACCCACCGCTCCCCCGTGTTACACATTTTCTTACCTAAATTTACTGCTCAGACGTTTGCTCTTCATCCAGCTCCCCTCCCGGGCCCCGCCTCCCCCTTTTCCTGCAGAAGTGAGAAAATGAATCTGTGACGCGAGTGCATCTTGGGTGTGAAGCCGGCTGTGGCAGATGATTCGTTAGCTTGGAAATTCACTGACACCCTAGGGTGTTGGACACTGGGATCATCTTCTCGTTTTCTGTGTTGGCACAGAGTGGACGTCTAGTGGTCCTGGAAAGGGGGAAATCCACACTGGGTTTGTGTCGGTGTGTGTGCAGTTCTGTCCTAGGAAGCGCGGCACTTCCTCATGAGCCAGTGGCCGCCCCCACAGGGCAGACAGCTGGCCAGCGGCAGCGGCAGCTGGCACCAGCAGCCCCTGTTCTGTGTTGATGAGAAATCCAAAGGCCAGTGGGTGGGTTGCTCACTCAGCACCTGCTCCCTGGGCCCCCTGCAGGCCCTGGGCAAGGCTGTGCTCGGGGCAGCGGAGTGGGCGGGGACCCAGGAGGGGCTGGCAGCACTGTGACTGGTTTGGTGTGGATTGGAGGGAGCCAGGTAGGGCAGCCTTCAGAGGTCCTGCAGATGCCCGCAGCTGCCTGTGCGTCCGGCTTCCCTGGGCCTGGCTTTAGTGGACGAGGACTCGGGAGAAAACCATTTACTCACATGCCACATTCCGCAAGAAAGAGCTGCCAGCTTTGTGCGTGTGGGTGCGAACCTCTGTGCCTCCCTCTCCCGGCTGGGGGCTCAGCAGGACCTGGGCCGTCCGGCCCGCGGTCCAGGAGCTTGGCTCTCCCGCCAGGGTTGGTACTTCATGGAGAACCACCCACGCCAGTGCTGGTGCTGGAAATGCTGGTGTGGGGAGCATCTGGACAGGACTTGCTTTTCTGGATGCTTCCATCTGACTGTGGGCAGGGAGGCCTGTTTCTCTGGACAAAGGGTGCTGTCCATGGACCAGAGTGCCAGGCCCACTGGGGAAGGGCCTGTCCTCTGCAGCGCGGCGTGTAGACCCCTCATGCTCTCCTGGGGTCGCACAGCCACCGGTAACTGCAGCAGCCGCAGTGGATGGTGCAGTGGTGCTGTTCCGGTCGGGGCATGCATCCCGGCCTGGTGTGCTGGGCTCCGAGCGGCGCATTTTCACAGAGGGCTTCAGCCACAGACAGGAGGGAATCTAATATTTTTGAGGCACCAGGGCCTTTGAGCTTCATCTTTGAAGTAATGACTGAGGGAAAGTCCTCTGACCCCCAGCAGTCCCTGTTGGTAACTGGACTGAGCTGACTGGGTGACATCCTGTCTCACCCTGCGTCTTCCTGACGTTCTCCGTGCTCCTCTTTCTGGTTCCCAGCAACTCGGCCACATGGCTGCCATACAGGAGTGTGTGAGCATGTGTGTGTGTGTTCTTGTGTTCATGACTGCAGCTCTCGCTGCCTGGCCAGCAGACACGGAGCGTGCGTGGGTCACGGGTGCCTGGTGGGTGTGCGCTCTTTCCCACTTGATGCACATGGATGGACCATCCTCAGGACCAGCTGAGTGAGCCTGGACCCCAGTGCTTCTGTGCCCCCTGCCCCTCCTCCAGCAATGCAGCGTGTGGCGGTTCCTTCACTCCAGCTCCAGTTCTGACCCAGTGGGTGGTGTATGCCATCCGAAACCTTACAGAGGACAACGCGCAAAACCAGGACGTGATTGCCAAGATGGAAGACCAGGGCCTGGCAGACACATCGCTCCTTAAAAAGATGGGGTTCGAAGTTGAGAAGAGGGGCGGGAAGCTGATTCTGAAGTCCAGCAGCGACGGCCCCAGCCGGTGAGCACCCTGCCCTTCCTTCCCCACCTGGAGCGTGGCCGGGGAGAGATCTGCCCTCCAGCGTGGTCTACCAAAGAGAGCCCCACACGGTTGTCCCTCTGGGTGTTCAGGCCTTGGTGAGACGGCGTCCGGCCAGCGGGAAGCCGACTCCAGCTCCCTTACGCTTGATGCCGTCTCTGCCTGTCGCGGGTTGGCGCTGTGTGCACAGTCACAGCCCTGAGTGTCTGGGACTGTTGACCACACAAAGAAGTCCATACTCAGTTCACTGCGGCTTTCTCTCCAGAGGTCCCGGTCTGTACTGGGGAGTACCAGGGACCCAGGCACACGGCGCCAGGGCGGTGCGGTTTCTGTTCCGGCCGGATACTGCCGTTTCTTACAAGAGTTAAAATGCAGAGCTCACTCTGCGACATGTCATCGTTTATGCGTGCTCCGATACGAAGCTTCTGATTGGACTGAAGGTTAACCAGCACTGGCTGCCATTGATAGAGCAGAAAGCGCGTAGTGCCGAGTGGGTTCTTCGGGTCTCCCAGTGACACGGCCCCACTGCGGGAGCTCTGTGTGTTTTCTTGTCCGCTGATTCCGGTGAACAGACCTCACTAAAGCTGTGATGATTTTTTCTTTTTTTTCCTCTCAGTGAATGAACTCTCCATCCAGGCGTCTGAGTTTTCAGAACCTGTTTGCGTGGATTTTTCGTCTTCTACAGTTTGTGAAATCGCAAGTGTTTGAAGATTATTGGGTCTTTTAGATAATAGAGTTAAGTGCGAATAAGCTGACTGTGAACCCGAGTTTTCTCTTGTTCCTGTGTTTTAAATGTGGCTCTGCTTTGCCTTTGTTCCCTGGATAGAATGTGCATTTAAATGATGTGTTGTACTGACGCCTGCGACAGCAAATAAAAAATCCTCTCGTCTGGCAGCGGCGGGGCGTTTGCTGGGTTTTGTGCGTCCCTGCAGACGCAGTGCAGCCTCGGCCCTTGCTTTGCCTCTTCTCATTGGGTTTTCTGAGCTCTGTCAGGCAGCTGAAGTTGGTTTCTCACTGTGATTAATTCTAGCAATCTCTTTTCACCCCTTCTGCCTTTCCAAAACATTGACAAGACTCATTTCCAGGTAATTAATCCGAGAACTCTCCCTCTTCACGTTGGGCACTGGGCTGCGTTGTCCCCGAGCCCGAGCCCTGTCCCTTTGGAATGTGGCAGAGAGCACATGGGCCGCTTAACTCTTGTTGTTCCAAACTGGCCTAGAGCTCGGCTTCTCGGAGGGAGAGGAGGGCGGTCTGACGGTCTGCCCTTGTGCAGGGCCATGGTACTCCAGTGTCACCCGGGTCCCCTTCTCTGGGGAAAGCCCCTCTTCCTATTAACTGTGGCTTCCCTAGAATTCCAGGATAGTTTTGGGCTTGCCGGGCCTCTCGTGTGGCCACCCATTGTCTTCTGATCTAGGCGTCATCTGTCCAGCTCACGCTGGGTGAGTTAAGTGAGCACTGAGCTGCCCGCAGCCCCTGGGGCGTTCATGTGGTCAGCACGACCTGGGTGGGAGGTCGTCTTGTGACTGCAGACAGTGAGCACCCAGCAGAAGTTTTAAAGAAATACTGACTGCTCCAGGCTCAAGTGCTTCTGTGCTGTTCTGCGCCTACTCAGACTGCGTAGGGGAGCGTGTGGAGAGTGCAGTGCAAGCTTCCCGCACACGGTAGACCTCTGTGCTCCTCGCAGCTCTGCAGGGGTGGCGCCAGTCTGCGCGCCGTGTTTCTTCTCTTGTTTAAGACATTCTGTCAGTAAAGAAGCCGTGGGAAAATTCCAGGCGCACACAAAGTCATTCTCCTCTGAGTCCTAAAGGGTTAAGGTCCTTTTTTCCAAACAGAAGGCAAAGGGAAACAGCAGTGGGCGGCCCTTCTCCTCTAACAAGTTTGCAGTAGACACTTCTTTTTTCCCGTCTCAATGGGTGTGTGCACAGCAGTGGAATCACACAAACACGCCAGTAGGAGCCGTGTAATAACAAACACAGATAAACAAAAGGGAGCCTGTGAGAGGACAGAATGGGGTAATGGCTCTGTGTTTCCTAAATAGGGAAGCACGCTGCTGGCCGCGCTGGGCTGCTTTTGATTCCCTCAGTAGATTAATTCCTGAGCACAACAGCTCCCCTGTTCTTTCCCAGTGGACTTGGAGCTTCTGAGAGCCTTGTTTTACATGCTATAGGGGATTAAGTCACCGCCGATCAGTCATTGAGAAGGGAGAAAAGCAGGCCAGCCTTAGAAAACTTGTGAAGGGGCAGAATGGTCCCAGCGAGTTTGTGACCACATCAGTGCTTTCAAGAGCAAGCCAACAAAGCTCTTTCGCCTGCTCCATTCTAAAAGGCAGAGGGGCGTTTTCTTTAATACCTCCACAATGGGTGTTAGGATCTCAGAAATATTTATCTTCACCACTTCCATGCTACACTGTTAGAATCTGTCCGTATTAATGCATCTCCTGGTTTCTGTGTTTTGTGTTTAGAAGCTAATGTTGAATGCATTTTGTTGTTGTTGTTCAGTAACTTCAGAATCTAACCGCTCATCCTTTTGCGGAATGGCACATGGAGAAGTGATGCAGTTTTCAATAGGTGTGCGTTCTGTGTCTGTTGCTTCTGAAGTCATTCTTGGGCTGCCCTGCTAGCATCTGGCATTCGGGTGATTTGTTATTCTTTAACCTCTGTCCTTTAAGGATAAACAAAGGTGTTAGAACAACACCAGTCTTTGTAGGAGAAGAACTTCCGCATCAGTAGATGTGTCTCGTCATCAGTGACTTCTGCTCGGAAGGAGTCAGCTTGCATGTGGGAAGCAGGAGAGTCAAGGTGCATTTTAAAATGCAGAGAAATTGAGGCAGAGCCTCCATGTGCAGCTACGAACATAATCAGCCTTTGAGGAGAGGAACGGCCTCTGGGCGCTGTCCAGGGTTCTGATTGTTCCGGCGGCCTTGGCCTGTTTGTGGAAATCAATTAAACTTTGCTTTCAAAACTCGGCTTTTTTGTCTCCCTCTGACACAGTACCTGTTTCCCTCTTGTGTGGGCATTTTCTGTATTTCTGAGTTTTTTAGGTCAAGTGTTCCATGATATTTACAGCATGAATTTGGTTACCATCTATCATACAAACGCACTGTTAAACGTACGCGAGTCCTCTCCACCCGGTGGTAATGGTGAACTCGCTCGTAGCCAGAGACGTTTCTCTAAGGTTTCTGATCATTGTTGATTCTAGCTTAAAGTAAAACGTGGAGTGTTTTCTTTTTCATCCGAGTGACGTAGTGAGCACTTCCCATTTACGCAGAGTTGTGTTGTGCCTGTTCTGTTGCGAGAGTGTAGGTCACATGTTACGACTTTTACCACAACTCTGTGAAGTGTCACGGCCCAGAGAGTGAACCCTGAAGCTGGGTTCCTGGGTTCCAGTCCCTGCTCCTGGACTCGAGCAGCTCGGGGCAGATTCCGGAAGCTCTGTGTGCCTCCCCTTCCCCACCTCTGAAAATGGGCCCACAGTACCACCTACCTCATAGGAGTATACGAGAGTAAGGCCAGTGATTCTGTGCAGGGCTTCCTTCTGGACTTCACCGTCACGTGGGAGAGTAAGTGTAGCCAGAGAAGTCGGTGTCCAAGGCCACACAGCAGGAAATGCCTTGCGGTAGATTTGTGCAGCTAATCCGAGAGGGGGGAGGGAGGGAGGAAATAGGGGGACACGTGGCGGCTGTGGACTTAGAGCAGGGAAGCTCTGGAGGACGTGGGCTTTGAGTCAGAAAACCCAGCCTTCAGATGTCAGCCCTGTCAGGCCAGCTGTGTGGCTTGATCGTGATGCTTCATCACACCGAGTCTAACTTTGCACCACAGACAGTGCGCCAGGCACTAAATGAGACAGAATGGCCCCTGGTCTCATGAGGCTTTTTAAGATTTATTTTATTTATTTGAAAGAGTTACACAGAGAGAGAGAGAGAGGTCTTCCATCCACTGGTTCACTCTCCAGATGGCCACAATGGCCGGAGCTACGCCGATCCAAAGCCAGGAGCCAGGAGCTTCTGGGTCTCCCACGTGGGTGCAGGGGCCCAAGGACTTGAGCCATCTTCTACTGCTATCCCGGGCCACAGCAGAGAGCTGGACAGGAAGTGGAGCAGCCGGGTCTCGAACTGGCGCCCATATGGGATGCCGGCACTTCAGGCCATGGCGTTAACCTACTGTGCCACAGCGCCGGCCCCATGAAGCTGTTCTGATGGGACAGGGCCTGGCATTGTGTCATAGCAAGTTGAGCCACCAGCTGCAACCCCAGCAACCCCATAGGGGCACCAGTTCGAGTCCCGGCTGCTCCACTTTAATCCAGCTCCTTGTAATGTGCCTGGGAAGGCAGCAGATGATGGCGCATGTGGGAGACCCAGAAAAACTTCTGGCTCCTGGCTTCTGCCTTGCCCAGCACTGGCCAATGCTGGGGACTAAAGCAGCAGATGGGGCCTGTCTCCGTCTGTCTCTCCCTCTGTGTAACTGCCTTTCAAATAAGTAAATAAATCTTATTTTTTAATTTAAGAAAAAGAACACTAAGGGGACAAGCATGTAAGGCTTCCTTACATATCATAGCAAATGCTTTGAGGCAGGTAGCTAGTTGCAGGTAACTGGGTGTCTTTTCTGAGACAGCCACGTCTGAGCAGAGGGCAGAGGGCTGGGAGGTGCCACCCAAGCGGAGGACAGGGACAGAGTATTCAGGAGAAGGGGTCGGGAAGGGCTGAGGCCCAGAAACCGCTCGGGGTGCACCTGGTCGAGAGCAGGGTGGCGGCAGTGGGAGCAGAGCCCAGGGCCTGGGAGGGTGGTGTGA